TCAATTTATATCAACCTGTCTTGCATTGGCCTAGATAGAAACTGGCTGTATCACCATAAATAAATCAACCTGGTGTGTACTATATCCGTATGACATGACACAACACACTACTATAGCATGACCGGGCATCGTATGACACGTTTTGGGACGAAAAACAATTTGCGTGCACAATTGGTATCTGATGAAATAGTAAATTGATGATGTATAGTGGTAGTCTATTTCACGTCTGCAGTGTTTTGGTAGAAAGAGAAAGACATTATGATTGACGGTTATGTATTCGTGAACAGAAGTGTTTGACAAGGTGAGAGATATCGGTGCTCGTGTTTTGTTTGCGTAAACAATGCCACAATGGGCAATTTATTTCTGGTTAAACATGGGGTTTACTTGTACAAGTTTCTGGGAGGTCATCAATGAGGAAATAGGAGAGTACAATACGTATTGCCGCGTAATCCAGAAGAAATCAAACTTTACATGTATGTTATCAAGTTACATTGCATAAAATTCAATATAAATTTATTCTATGTTCTTCAAATAAAAGCAAAATCCATTGTTTCGCTGATAGTTTGTTTACACAGGCGTTCAGTATATCAATATGTGTAATAATGTTACAAATATGACGAGCAAGCGGAAATGGTTAATTAAGCATGAAATGTATTCTTTATACCGGATCAACTAGGGTTATGGTGCGAGTTAAAAAAATTATCACGTTGTCATTAAAAAAACGTAGATTGTGGTCAAATCAATAGAGTGCAATTTCCCCAAAACTTGCTTATCGATCATCATAATCACACAATGAAAAAAATATATTTCACGGCATGCTATACGTTTAGAAGTGTAAACTTCAAGCAACAAAGCAAGTCTACAATAGTCTTACCAATGAATCATTATTCTAGTGTGTGTGTGTGTGTGTACAAAGATAGTGTACCTCTTGTTTATTGGTTTATGGCGCCAGTTCATCATCTTCACAAATAATGTTACACGTGATCTGTGTCCCCTCAATCTTTCAGGGGTTTCCCCTACATAAAGCACATGTTAACCAACCTCATCGCCGCCGCTATTTCCTTGTTTAACATTTGAGCTGATGAGAAAAACACTTCTCCCTGTTTTTTTCTTATGTGTATTTATGTTTTATTGGATTGGGTTTGCTGTTTGGAACATGATCCGTCATTTCTTTCACTGTAGAAACATTGTGTAAGTAATTGTGGGATCAGTTTACACGCTCGCAGCCTTTTTGCACTCAAATCGGAAAATTCCACCAGTGTAGGTCAGGAAGGTCATCACAAACTTAAACTCTCATTTATTTGTCATAACTTTTTTAAATAACACCAGAAAAACGCATTAAAAAGATAGATTTAGGTAAGGTCAAAGCCCTGGTACAGCCATCAGTTCCCCGACCACAATAACATATTGGATTTGTACTTAATGAAGGGGATATATTTGAATATTTTGTATGTAAATTTTTAACATATCCGTTTTCGATGAATACGAGCGCTTCAAGGATAGGCCTTATCACCAACTATTAAAACAGATTTCCTGTTTTATCACCTAGTTTTGGTTTTGTAGGCCAAAGTGAACGTGAAACAATTTCTGAGTTAAATACTTATTGATTCGATACAGTCATACACTAATTATATATAACGCACGCTAAATTAAGTGTTCGTTAGTGCCTTCACACGTCGATGACGATATACAATACATATGTAATAGTTACAAACTTACACACACACAGACATACAAAAAACATGTACGGATACAATTCTCTCTACCATAGTATGGTAATATCAGTTTAGGTGACCTTATCTCATCACCAGGATTTTAAAAGATTTCCTCTCCTCCTGTGGTTGTTTCCCCTTTTTATTGGTATAGTCTAGGTTCCTAGGGTTGTCCCTCTCTTTGTGTGTCTTTCGTTCAAGTTCTTGTCGCTGTTTTTGTCTTCTAGTGTCTCCTAAGTTCCTGTTGTCTTTTATTTTGTTTTGGTGTCTATGATAATGCTACTTATATAAAAAATATAAAAAATAAAAATAAAAAAAACCCAGATCCTTAAGACCTTTGTGCGTATGGCAAGCGAATAGCTCACTGAACTTATCTAGACATTTAGGATATCTTGTAGGTCTAATAAAGACACTAGATGGAAACTAAGGTACACGTTGTTCAATGTGTTCTAACCGACCAACATTTAAAATATGCATGACTTCAACAAAGTCTAACTGTTTATGGTCTAAGCAATGGTGTCCTAGTATACATTGTTGCTAGGGACAACTCGTGGCACAGCGTCTGTATCCCATACTTCACGACGGCAAATTTAAAGGTGCATAGTTACGATTGAATTTAACGACCCCGAATGACTCAAAGCGTACCGTGATAAACACTATATACACGACCAAAGATTGGCTCATTGTGAAACGAGCCACTTTCCCAGGCTCCAAAACCAGTTAGCAGTTCTAGTAATTGATTAAACCAGCGTTGCTGACGTCATTGACGGCCTAATTAGACATCTTAATACGGTTTTCTTGATTAATATTTAAATTAGGTGAAACCACACAAAATAGAGGTCTGGTGAAGCGTGCTTTGGATAACAAATAAAAAGAAAACACCAATTGTATTTTTTCTTAATCAAATGCTCAATCATTGCTTTTATCGGTAATTTATCATGTTTAATGGTCCAATACCTAATAAAACTACCTATAAAGCCAGGGACATTTAAATTTTCGATAAATTCAAAAGAAAAGGAATGCGTACTAAGGTCTGCACACAAATATGTTTGACCCATTGAATGCGTGGGTTTACTATCGTCGCTTAGATCTAGATCTTGGAGACGGGATCTACGTCTTTTACACCTAGCGTTCAACATGAAGAAAACCTAACTCAATGACGATTCTATTCAATAGAAAATAAAGAATTAAAATATATAAGTAGAGTTGATTCATTACAACGTTCGATGACGTATTTCTCTTTTGAATGCCTGGCTTTCATTCATTTTAATTCAATAGGAATTTAAGGAAAACAAAACATTTCGGTCATTTTCAAAAACAGACGTACACATGATATCGTTAATTAAAAGTCATATATATGTAAATCATAGGGCTTTGTATACTGAATCAACTGCACATTTACTACGGTGCAAAACCTTTTGTTGAATTCGACATTCAACTTAACAGTTCTATCAACAAAAATGTCCATCAATTCAAATAGAATTGCACACGCTTTTGAGACGTATAAGTGTATATGATGAAGTTATCAGGAAAAGACTGAACTAATCGTCTTTTTCCAAAAGTGTCAGCAAACAATTGCTTCCCAGCTCAAGGTCGGTGTCAGAACTATTGAGACTGCCCCAGCTGTTCAAAACCTAGGGGTATACTTTGATAGTTCCCTGAATATTGAGAAACAAGTGAACGCTATAGCCAAATTTTGTTACTTCCAGATCAGGAACATTGGCCGTATCAGGAACATTGGCCGTATCAGGCAGCTTAAAACTACAGATGAATGCAAGACTTTAATGCATTCACTTGTTACTTCTCGGTTGGATTATGGTAACGCCCTGCTCTATGGTATATCTTACAAACTAACTAGTCGACTGCAGAGGGTCGATAACACTGCAGCACGGCTGGTTACTCGTACTCGATAATTGCACTAGATACCTGTACGATTCAGGTCGCTGTGCAAAATATTGGTGTTGTTTTTTCACATAAATGGCACTGAATCGAACAGCTCCCCAGTACCTTCATAATTATACCTAATACTATTATCCATATGTTGTAAAGCGCTTTAGAGTTAAATCATATAGGGCGCATATAAATGTTGTATATCATTATTATATTATTATTATTATTTAAATATAAGAATATATCATATGATCGTCACTGGTGACAAAAGTAACGATTGCCTTATAAAATAATAATACGTTCTCTGTTACCTTAGATAGGTAAAGTACTAGGATAAGGATTATAACTAAAGTGTCATGATTGGTGTCAATCACGACCGTTCGTCCACAAATGTTCATATCTGTAAGAGTGTCATATCTAAGTTCTGAAGAGAATCCACTGATATTGAAGAAATGAGTTGTACGAGAAATAGCCAGCATACACCAAAAGTCATATCAAATAATATATCTTAACAAGATTCATAAAAAAGGACCATTGCAAATAAGTTATTAACGTTTTTAATGTTTCCGTTTGATCTACGATACCACTATTTTAACTAACCAAGGCCAGTTGTAAGTAATGAGACAATGAATCTGTCGTGGTGATCGTGACGTCATTACGAGTGAGACGTCATAATCATAACGCTAGAGGAAACCTGACCGATACATGTTTATCTAGTTAAAATATGATGAAGAGATGTGCAATTTAGATATGAATATATAATCCAAATCAATAAAGCAAAACCAATTCCATAATATCGAGCAGCTTGATGCTTAAAGAGGCCGTTTAAAAAGTGGCATCGAGAGAGTTTTGTGATAATAATCATTTTCTTTGTTCAATTGTTAGGGCTTTTTTTTATCAAATTCCATTGTGGCTTCGTAAATGTTAATAGCTTCCCTTCGTAATAAATTCTCAATTTTACGTACATTTTAACGTGACAGCAAACAATTGTAAATAAATATATAAGCAAAAAACCTTTACACCAAACAAAAGGTCATTGTATTGTACGTACTCCTTTAATTGCCAAAAAAGTATATACGGTGTACTTTAACGTTGAAATCTTCCATTCCAGAGTGCCGAGCATGACTTCACTGGTGTGGAATGTGTGTATGTATAATATCTATTATCAGGGGCTGATATACACAATAAAGCTGCCCCCATCACTCTCACGTAAACCTCGTTGGTATTTGTTGACATTTAATGCATCAACACAATAGCGCCTTGTCAGATTATTTTTTGTCAGACAACTGTCAGACTTCGAATGCACTCTTCAGATTAAGGTTGGAATCATCAGACAGATTACTGCTGGAGTCTACTGTAATAAAATGTTTGGAATCATCTAAAGATTATTGCTGGAGTCTACTGTAAGATAAAGGTTTGAATCATCGAAAGATTATTGCTGGAGTCTACGGTCAGATTATGGTTGGAATCATCAGTCAGATTATTGCTGGAGTCTTCTGTAAGATTATGGTTGGAATCATCAGTCAGATTATTGCTGGAGTCTACTGTCAGATTAAGGTTGGAATCATCAGTCAGATTATTGCTGAAGTCTACTGTCAGATGATGGTTGGAATCATCAGTCTTGTTATCGCTTGAGTCTACTGTAAGATTAAGGTTGGAATCATCAGTCAGATTATTGCTGGAGTCTACTATAAGATTATGGTTGGAATCATCAGACAGATTATTGCTGAAGTCTACTGTCAGATGATGGTTGGAATCATCAGTCTTGTTATCGCTTGAGTCTACTGTAAGATTAAGGTTGGAATCATCAGTTAGATTATTGCTGGAGTCTACTGTCAGATTATGGTTGGAATCATCAATCAGATTATTGCTGAAGTCTACTGTCAGATGATGGTTGGAATCATCAGTCATGTTATTACTGAAGTCTACTGTAAGATTATGGTCGGAATCATCAGTCAGATTATTGCTTGAGTCTACTGTAAGATTATGGTTGGAATCATCAGTCAGATTATTGCTGAAGTCTACTGTCAGATGATGGTTGGAATCATCAGTCTTGTTATCGCTTAAGTCTACTGTAAGATTAAGGTTGGAATCATCAGTCAGATTATTGCTGGAGTCTACTGTAAGATTATGGTTGGAATCATCAGACAGATTATTGCTGAAGTCTACTGTCAGATGATGGTTGGAATCATCAGTCTTGTTATCGCTTGAGTCTACTGTAAGATTAAGGTTGGAATCATCAGTCAGATTGTTGCTGGAGTCTACGGTCAGATTAGGGTTGGAATCATCAGTCAGATTATTGCTGAAGTCTACGGTCAGATAATGGTTGGAATCATGAGACAGATTATTGATGCAGTCTATTGTCAGATTATGGTTGGAATCATCGAAAGATTATTGCTGGAGTCTACGGTCAGATAATGGTTGGAATCATCAGTCAGATTATTGCTGGAGTCTTCTGTAAGATTATGGTTGGAATCATCAGTCAGATTATTGCTGGAGTCTTCTGTCATATCAAATAATATATCTTAACAAGATTCATAAAAAAGGACCATTGCACATAAGTTATTAACGTTTTTAATGTTTCCGTTTGATCTACGATACCACTATTTTAACTAACCAAGGTCAGATTAGGGTTGGAATCATCAGTCAGATTATTGCTGAAGTCTACGGTCAGATAATGGTTGGAATCATGAGACAGATTATTGATGCAGTCTATTGTCAGATTATTGTTGGAATCATCAGACAGATTATTGATGCAGTCTATTGTCAGATAATGGTTGGAATCATCAGTCATATTAAGGTTTGAATCATTAGTCAGATTATTGCTGAAATCTACCGTCAGATAATGGTTAGAATCATCAGTCTGTTTTTTGTTGAGGTCTACTATCAGATTGTTGCAAGGCCAATAGATCTCTCAAACTATTGCCGGACACATTCGTCAGGTATTGCTGCATGCGTTTGCCGGATTACTGATGGTGACTATCAAACAACTGTCAGATTTTTACGAAAATATTTTGGAGATAATTGTTGGAGTCTTCTGTCAGATAACTGTTTGAAACTATTCTTTCAGATTATTGTCAGTGTTTGCTCTAATGTTATTTTATGAATCTTCTGTAAGATTATATTTGGATACTTTATTTTTCAAATAATTGCCGGAGAACAATAGCAGTTTTTCTTCTAATTTTTCTTTTAAACTCGAAGTTATATTTCTGTTATTCCGATTTAAACTAAGAAGAGTCACATTATTAAAATATGATCAATTATTTAATATCTTTTATACCCAAGAGGCATTTGACAAGCAATATATTTATCATAAATCTAACAATGCTTACCGCTTAGACATGACCGGAACTGGGTCGGACAGAGGTTTTTATAATGTCGTTAATATAATGATCTCGTGGAATTTGCCAGGTCATTTCCTGATTGATGAATAGAGAGATTCGATTGGTTGTCATACACGTGCAATGCTTTCTTCGATGATGCCGATGGGGTCGTATGTGTATTTTATTGAGCCCTCCGTCAAAACAGAGCTGTAAGTTACGAGACAATGACTGGTCATTGTTTTGACGGGCTCTTGTCCGAACTAGGTTAATTGGTGTCCGGAGGGCAGTAAAAACAGCAATACAGTTTTTCTCTGTTAGCTGACAATTTACACAAATTATGGTATCACAGGCTAATGGTTTATTCTCCTTTGGCCCATGTTATTGATGTAGAGTGCTTTCTCTCTGGGGCATAACTAGGTGTTATCTCCGTGGTAAACAAATTCATTGTATTTGCTAATTATCTATTGTTAATATTTTCACTTTTATATGCTTTTCATCCTATTTTTTTAATAGTGTTTTCACCTTCACTGATCAAATTGACATGCCTTTCCGAAGTTTTTAAACTGATGTTATCAAAACATACAATACGATAGTATTCTTACCACATACTTACCATCTTATGTTAACATAAAGACTTTTTTTATGCAAAATGAGGATTTGATGACCAGCAATAGAATGCAGGACCGAAGAGGGCAAAATCGCCTTGATGTTTGGCAGACTGTGTGCTGTGTATCTGACAGGTAGAGATGACAACAATGCGTTGCCGCAACTTCCGATTGGCGTCCCGATTGAGATTTGCGATTTAAGAAAGCAGCACACCCACCGTACCTGTTGACTTCTACAAAGGCGAAAGTTATCTGTGTAACTTATTTTTAGAAAGGTATGTTTGGCGGCATATACTTTGTTGAACCCAAGCCGTGATCGTTGGCCTCGACCTCGCCTAGGTCAATAGTCTGGCCTTCTGGTTCAACAAAACATGCTGTCTTTCAAACGGGATAGTATATACTCATAAACAGGTTTTATGGAAAACTTGCGGTGTGAATATTACGTATGCTGTGAACAGCTGCATGATTAATTCAATATTAATTTATTAGTAAATACATTTTCTATTGTAACCTTAGCAACGTTGACCAAGACTAACTCATTTTGGTTTAAATTGAGGGGATTGTGCCAGTAAACTTGTACAACTTAATATATGAGGATCTTCAAGAAATTCTTAGATTATGTAATGGTACATGTACTCCCAATGCTGGTATAAAAAAATCTTTAAGACTTAATCCTTATGCAGGATATCTTCTCTTTTGTTTTGCACATCAAACGTTTCACAGCCAGAATTTAGACATTTTAAGGAACAATAATATCACACCCATTGTGCAAATGGATACTTATGTCCATACGAAGCTATAACAAGCCAAATTTGTCTGCTGTTCTTAACATTTTAAATATGTTTTCTTTCACTATTCCTAGTATTCCGATAATATAATTCATCTTCTGATGACCAGCATGGACAAGAAATAAAGCTAAGTCAGACATTATCTGAAATGTATATAGGAAGAAGGGAATACTTTTTTGATATTGCGTAATCTCGCTCCGCAGATCCATGCGAGAATACACAGAAAGTCATGACCTCACAGAAATACATTATTGTACTGTCATATCAAAGACATTGTTAATGCCTAGGGATGCAGTCCTATCCGTGTTGTCATTATTTGTCGGCCTATGTTAACATGTATATAGAACGGTTGTTTGTTTCCTATACCTGTTAATTGCTGTTCGTCTGACGTTGTGTAAGCACGTCGTTGACCAGAGATGCTGGATAATTAATTGACAGGTATACATATTGACGGGCATATGAAGCACAACGGACGTAAATTTCCAATTTACACTGCAATCAAGTTAGTGATGTTGTTCGTTGAATTAACAGCATCAGTTTATTCATTTCTCCACATGAGACGCTCGTTAATTTCATATATCATACAGTGAAAATATATAAGAAATATGACTTATTGAAAGGTTAAATATGGAATTCAAAAGAGATGCAGAATCAAGCGTTAGGTGTAATAAGCGTTATCGAATCGGTTCACTTTGCACTATCATTGAACAAAGAGTGAGAGAATATGATATGACGAAGCAGACGACATGTTTATTAGAGAATAATTAGATCCGGGTCGTATCAAGTCATCGAGATTATACAGCAGGCTTTGTCCTCAGTAAGGTCACGGTAGGGGCAGTGGACTACTTTTGTTAGAGGCTTTTATCCTCTGACCACATATTCTTACGCGATACTTAAACTGATTCAAACTTAGGCAGATATCCTTGATGATGGACGTCAGACGATTGACGCTGATTTAAAAAGAATCAAAACAAAGTTTTGATTGATGATATGTAAGAATATGCACCTTTATTTTTGTAACTTATAGTTCATATTGTTTGATTTTAGTAAAACAAGAATACATTTTCCACAGCATTCATGCACAGCAAAACAAAAAGGGTAAAAACATCACCGTCTGCAAATCCACAGACAAAGAAAAGCTACCAAAGCGTCAACACATATTAATATACCATAGCATCAACATATAACTATCACATATATCACAGCGTCAATAAACAAGGACAGAAATACCATAATGTCAACACTCAAGGATAAAATGTTTACCAAAAAGTAAATTCTAAAATTGAATATACCAAAACGTCAATGCTAAGACAGCATTTACCACTGCGTCAATATTAATGCAAAATTTTCTATGGAGTCAATACTCAGACAAAATATACTACGGAGTCAGTACTAGGACAAAATTTTACCACAGAGACAATGCTAAGACAGCAAACGCCATAGCGTCAATACTAAGACAACATTTACCATTGTTTTTTATTCATTTATTTATTTTCTATTATCAATTAAAAGATACATATTTTTTTCATCTTCACACTTCGGATATCGTGTAATGTTCACCGCCGTTGCTCACATTGACGGATGTATCCAGTGACAAGATAACAGGATGTTCGTCACACGCTTATCTAAATATAGTTTTACTACCTCCGTTTTAGGCGCTTAGTATTGGCGATCAACTTCCGTTGTTTGTCAACAAACGATTTTTATATACATCTATACACCAATAGAGGCCAATGTTCTTCGCATACTACACACTTCCGGTCAAACAGAATGTATATGACTATGTAATTTTTATTTGAAATATTGAAGAAAAACGCTGATAATATTCACTTCAGCATGTGAAGATAGCGTGAGGTATTTGACGTTGATGGACTTATTGGAGAAGAAGGATATGATATAACATTTATCTTAATATAGACAGATGATTCACTAACATCCGGTTGTTGATTGCTAGCGTCAATTTGAAAACATAAACAGATACATGAAAGATTAAAACATTCTAACATTTCCGCAAAAATCTGGTTTACAAGCAAAACTTACTAAAAATATATATGTCCCCTTCCGGTACATCACGTGAGAACGTGCTAACTTACATGAGAAAAAAAAGGCTTGAAAAGCATTTCAGTAATTTTTACAAAGATAAATAAAATAGAGAAATTATATTTTAAAATATTCATAAATTGTTTTTATTATTATTATCCTGGTTAACTGGCAGCGATTACACTGGCATATATCTTCCTTCTGTTAAAACGAACATCATGAACTAGGGAGACACCAGACGAGAGAGAGAAAAAATAGGAACCATTGAGACAACAAAACGAGATACAATAGCATGTTCCAAAGCGTTTACAAAAAACAAAATGAGAGACAATGACAGGAACTGAGGAGATATCAAAACAAAATAAAATAAGTCTGTCCTGATCAACATTACTCAAAATGAGGACGATGATATGCAGTGCACCGCAATTTGTTTTGTTCTGAGCAGAGATGAAAGCAATCCTACAAACACTTATCTGTTAACCTTTACGCCAATTGGGTTTTTTGTTTTCTTTATTGGTTCCATTCAGTCTATATTTATTTATTGCTTTATTTA